GCGAGTCAGGGCGCTCCGAACATCCTCACCCTCCCGCCCATAGCAACAGAATCGGTGCTGGGACAGGGTGAACCGTGAGCCGGCAAGTGCGCCGAAGCCCAGATGGGAGCGCCGTCGACAGGGGAACCTGGGCTCCAAGGTTTGCCTCGAGGGCGCGAAGTGGCGCCCTCGAGGGCGCGAAGTCATTCGCGCTCCGCGGTTCGGCTCCGATTCCTCCTCGTCCTCCTCTTCCCCCTTGGGGGGGAGGCGCGAGAAGTTAGGCGCCGTTGGGGGTGTTCTGTTCTCTCGCGCCCGCGCGTTCTCCTCTCCGACGGTTCGGCGAGGGAGCTGCGCGCGTCCCGCCCGACCCAGAGCGTTGTTTTCACGAAGGAGCCTGGGCTCGGCGTGGAGGGCCACTTCCCCCCACATCCCTCGTAGCCCCGCTTCAAAACGCGAGGAAGAAACATGCGCCGTGCCCGAGCGGGAGCGCAACTTTCAAGGAACACGTGTGCGGCGCGCTCGGGCCTGGGGCGGCGTCGCGTCCGACATCTTGTCGAATATTAGTTGGTCTCAGAAGACATGGTATCTGGCGTGGACCCCATGCAGTATGTGCTGGTGTTCGCGACATACAGTCTGTAACATGCATGTTCGGTGCGGGGCAGTACATGTGGTGAAATGTATGTTGTGCGCTATATCCATTGCTTTATATGCAGACACATGCATGATTCAATACATGTGGTGCACTCTCTGTGTGTGTGTGTGTGTGTGTGTGTGTGTGTGTGTGTGTGTGTGTGTGTGTGTGTGTGGGGCCCGTGCGTTTAGTCGTTGGTGCGACACTGCTGAGAAGGAACAGGGTGTGCGTGCGCGTGTGTGTGTGTGTGTGTGTGTGTGTGTGTGTGTGTGTGTGTGTCTGTGTGTGTGTGTGCGTGTGTGTGTGCGTGCGTGCGTGCGTGCGTACGTGCGTGCGTGCGTGCGTGCGTGCGTGCATGCGTTGCACTGAGTGTGGGGGGTGTCTGTGGTGTAATGGATGTCGCGCAACCTGTGCTCTTACACTATAAGTGGTGCAATGAATGCAGTGAACTTCCATGCCACAGCTGATGTGGTGAAATATCTGTGGTGCAATGCATGTTGCGTAAGGTATGGGGAGCAATCTGTGTGTTGCAACACACCTGGTGCATTTAGAGGTTGGTGCAATCTAGGCGGTGCAACTTGTGCTGCGCAACCTATATGGTGCAATATGTATGAATTCATACGGTGCAATGTGTGATGTAATGCATGTGATGCATCGCTTGCGGCGCAACCAAAGTGGCGCAATCTGTGTGGTGCTGTTTTTATGATGTTGTCTTTGTAATGATGCAACACCTAATGGCCGTCGGCCCATCTCGCCACCGTGCCTGGGTTGTGGGTATGAAGCCTATGGACTGTTCGTTGGGATCCCTCTCGGGAGTCTCTGGGAGGCAGTTTGGAGGCCTCTTGGGGGCCGTTTTGTGGCCTCTTGAGGGCCTCTTGTGGCCTCTTTGGGGCCTCACGGTGGCCTCGTGGTGGCCTATTGGGGCCTCCTGGGCGCCTCTGAGGGCCTTCTGGTGGCCTCTTGGGGCGGGAGGCTCGGATTTTCGGTTCGTGTCTCCACTCTTGGGCCCCTCTTGGGGCCGTGTTGGGGCCTTCTTGGGCCGCCTTGGGCGCCTCTTGGGCCGTTTTGGGGCCCAGCCTCTCGGGCCGTTTTGGGGCGATCTTGTCGGTCTCTTGAACCGTCTTGGAGCGTGGGGAAGCCGAAAAGGCGAGAAAGCCATATACCTTCAAAAGCTAAGGAAAATCAATGATTCTTGCTTCTTGGGGCCCTCTTAAGAGGCCTCTTGGAGGCCTCTTGGGGCGTCTTGGGCCCATATTGGGCGTCTTGGAGCGATCATTAGACGTCTCGGGGCCTTCTTGGATCCTCTTGGCAGCCTTCGGGGGCCCTCTTGACCCGTCTCGGGGCCCTCTTGGCCTCAAAAAGTGATGCGACGCTATTTCCCGGAGCCCGAAGAACTGCGAGAATCCCCAGGAGAGTTGGGCCGAAGGGCTCCGAACTCAAAGACTCCTCACAAGTGAGGACTGAGGCTTAGAGGGGCAGTGAGGGGGCCTGAGGGCACGCCCACTCTATGCCCGAAAACACGGTCGCGGATACGTGGCGTAATCTGTTTGGTGTAATCCATGTGTTCACCAAGCGTGCCGTAGGCCATCAAACGGCGCCCACCATGGAGCACCCAGGGTTCCCACTGCTGGGCACCAAGTTCACCCGCAGGTGGGCCACCGATGCGAAAAGCCAGCACACACAGTTCCACAGGGCACCTGAGGACGCCAAGCGTGCCTGGTAGCCGATCGAGTCAGGTCAGGTCAGGCCTACGTGCCCGAGACAGGCGGCCTCTTAGGGCGCAGGCGGGGAACGGTCACAGTCACAGCCTACGTGCCAGCTCTACCAGGAGCGGTCTCGCGGGTCTCAAGCATTAGGAGCGCACAGGAAAACTTGGAAGGAGCCTAACAATCGGTCACACAGGCGGAAAGAAGGAGGAGCTTCTAAGTTTCGGCCATCTTCCCGCGTGTCGCGAAGACAGCGGCGAGTGAAGTAGGAGTTGAGCGGGCAGGGTGAGACGGGAAGCCTGGGATACATTCCGAGCTTTTCATAGGCTAAGTGGGATGCCTTAGTGCAGGCACTGTCTGGGGAATCTGCGCGGCGCTTCGACGAAAACGGGAGCTCGCGCGGGACGTGCGCCGCGTTCCGCTCCTGCCGCGCACTCCGCAACGTCGACACGAGGCGTCCATTTTGTAAAGAAAGCGCTTTTTGAGACTGTGGGAGTCGGGGCTCCCGAGCGGTCGTGCCCCAGTCCCTGCGCGCGCGCGTGGCTATAGATTGGGTTCTCGGCCTCTGGGGGCGACCCTCGGGGGCGACCCTCGGGGGCGACGCCTGGGGGCGACACCTGGGGGCGACACGCGTGGGGGCGAGACTTGGAGGCGACACTCGGGGGCGAGACTTGGGGGCTCCTCCTCCGCCTCCGATCTCTCCTCCGCCTCCTCCTCCTCCGCCTCCGATCTCTCCTCCGCCTCCTCCGATCTCTCCTCCGCCTCCTCCTCCTCCTCCTCCTCCTCCTCCTCCTCCTCCTCCTCCTCCTCCTCCTCCTCCTCCTCCTCCTGTGTCCCTCTCCCAACGCCCCTCCTCCTGGCCCCCCTCCTGGGTCCTCGCACCCTTCCCCCCCCCTCGGCGGTATACTCGGGGGCGACGCGTGGGGGCAACACACGGCCGCGCCACCGCCCCCTGCGCTCGTGCCCGCGTGCGCGGGTGCTACGCTTAAGTCGGGCCTGTCCGCCTACAGGAGGAGTATCCAAAAATGGTCACAGAATAGTATGGGGACGATTTTTCTAGTATTTTTTGATTATTCTCGAGTATGTCTTGAATATTCGGGAGTTTTCGTCCAAAATCCGCCTGTAGGGAGACAGGCCCGACCTAATGCTACGCATCAGTGTTTCTGCTGATGGGTCGGGCGGAATCGCCGTGTTCAGGGGCCGCCCCTGGCTGTGCAGGACGCTCGGAGGAGGAAAAGGTACCCCTACCTTTACCCCCTCGCCCGTTTTTCCCTTTTTGGGCCTCCTTGCAGGCCCTTGTCGCCACCGCTGGATTCGCCTCGAAATCCTGATCAGAACGCACCCCGGGAGAGGTCCGGGGAGTAGCCGTATCGATACCTGTAGGTTTCCCTAGACACGTCGGTGCGGGGACGGCCCGTCGATGACGTGCTGCACACGCAGGTGGCCGCAGACCTCCGGAGCTGGCCCTCGACGGCGAGTGCCGTCCGCCCGCACAGTAAGGATGAGCAACTTTTCCAAGGTTGCCCCTGCGTCCTTACATCTTGCCCTGCGCCCTTAGGTTTCGTACCTTCGAGAATCGTGAGGATGGCCTTTCGAGGCCCTTGCATCCTTACCACACATCCTTACCATACGGGCTGACTGTGATTGCTCGTGTCTTGTGCCAGCAGCCATTCCGTTTTTGTTGTTGTCGGGCCAGGGGCCCGCCTTGATGCCCGAATGTCGTGCCGCCCTCGAGGAAGCGCAGGCATGGATCAGGGCGCGTGGTTTAGCGATGGGCCCCACGCCCACGCGAAGTCGACGTGCTCCGTCGCCAAAGCGGGCGGCATCTGCCCTAGCCTCATGGGGGGTGCATTCGCCGATCCACGGATCCGTCATCCATGTTGGCGGGTGCCCGACGCTGTGCCCGAGAAGGACGAGGTTCCCCTCGTGATGCGGGGTGGGCCAGCGCGGCCCGTCCACTGCGCGCGGCCCGTCCACTGCGCCGCGCAGCCTCCGGTCTTCCTGCTCCTCCTCCTCCCTCCCAGGGCGGCACATGCGAGTATTTGGTCCGCAGACTGGTTTTGCCTGGCTCATTCGGTCGACCCTTCTCGCGCAAGGACAGCATGCGTGGTCCAGCAACCCAGTGGGCAATGGAGGGAGGAAAGACGAGGAGGATCCGCGCTCGCGCGTGCAGTTTGCAGCGGGGGGGCCCTTGGGAACGCGTGCTTCGCATGGCGAGGACTCGCGAACGCGGACCGAGGCACGTGGATCGGCGACGGGCTCCGTCTCCGTACAAGAGCCGACGCGCACAGCGGGCAGAGCGGCGCTGGCCCCACGGTTTCATGGGGGGGGTGGCATTCCCCCCCGTGATTCAGTATCGTTTAACCGACCCCCATCCCCATCCCCATCCCCTTCGAGACCCCCACCAAATTACCCCCCCAGTTGGGGATGCACCCCTCGAAACCCGAAGGGAACGGCCTATATCCCCATTGAGGGGGGTAAATTGGCCAGTGGGGCCCAGGCCACGGCGCCAGATCGGTGGATCTTTTCAGTCCATGTCAGCGTGTGCCCAAGAGTGCTCGGGCCCCTGCCCGCCAAATCTCAGCGGCGCGCCCGGGGGAGACCGCAGAGGGGGCGGGCCGTCTCGGGAGGCTCAGAAGGCCTCCTGCCCCCTGATGATCAGGAGGTCGCAAACGTGGATTAAGGGGGCGTGGATCAGCAACGGGCCCCGTTTCTGTGGGGAATCGCGGGTTCCCGCCGCCGAGCGAGGCGGCACCGGCCGCACTTTGGGGAGGGCACCTCCCCCGACCCGTGCACCTGGCGACCGCGCGCCAAGTCCATGGATCTCGAATCCGTGCTTGCGCGCCCCCAGAGACGGCCCCCCGGGCCCTCTGAGAAGCTTCCCGGGTCTCCGAAGCCACTGCTGGGCCTCCCAGAAGGCTGGAGGGCTTCCGAGAGGCCCGGCCGCCCTCCAAGAGGGCCTGCCGCCTCTCGCGTGCCCCCCTCGGTGCTCTCGGGCCCGCGCCCGGGCCTCTCTGCCGGCCCGTCGGGACGCTGCGGGCGCCGCCGGACGCCCCTCGGCGAGGCGCAGCTGCTGCCCCGCCTCCCGAGGCAGGAGGGCTCGCGAGGCGCTCCCCTTCGGTTCTCGGGCCATCGCTCGGGCCTCTGCCGGCCCGTCGGGGCGGTGCGGACGCCACCGCACGCCCCTCCGCGAGGCGCAGATGCTGAACCACATCCCGAGGCAGGAATCGAAAGGGGGGGATAATTAGGGAAAGGGGGGGTTACGAAATCTGCTGCATGCTGCTGGTTTCGGCCCCGCCGCCGAGCCCATTCCTCCATATATGGGCGCCTCCCGGCGCCGGGAGGCGCTGGGAAAATCAGCCACGTGAGCTGATTCTCTACCCTGCACTTTGCTATCTCCCCCTTTCGTTCCCCCCGAAGGAGCCGACGCAAGCGCGTGAGAGCCGGATCGGGGATCGATCGAGGATCGAGGCTCACGGATCGAGGATCCCCAGAACTCGTGTTCTGGCCCGCTCGTCGCTTGAAAGCCGGATCGGAGATCGATCGAGGATCGAGGCCCACGGATCGAGGATCGCTAGAGTTAAGTCGGGCGTGTCCCTCTACAGGAGGAATATTCAAAATTACCCTGTGACGTACCCAACCCATTTGTATCAATGGAAACGAGGAGTTGGCCGAAACTTGTATGGACAATCACCTTGATGTGTAAGCTACTTGGGAGGCGTCACTGCTGGGCCCCCCAGCAACCCTCGAAAGTGGCGACAGTTTCACAGATCGCAGCCCCCCAGGGATGGCGAGGTCCAATTTGAATCTGCGTGTGGGTACCCACTGTGCTGGGCCCCTTAGCAGGCATCGAAAGTGGCGACAGTTTCACAGATCGCAGCCCCCCAGGGATGGCGAGGTCCAATTTGAGTCCGCGGTGAGTACCCACTGCGCTGTGCCCCTCAGCAGCCCTCGAAAGTGGCGACAGTTTCACAGATCGCAGCCCCCCAGGGATGGCGAGGTCTAATCTGAATCCCCGTAGGGCGTCACTCCGCTGGGCCCCCCAGCAGCCTCGAAAGTGGCGACAGTTTCACAGATCGCAGCCCCCCAGGGATGGCGAGGTCTAATCTGAATCCCCGTAGGGCGTCACTCCGCTGGGCCCCCCGGCATTCCTCGAAAGTGGCGACAGTTTCACAGATCGCAGCCCCCCAGGGATGGCGAGGTCCCATTTGAGTCCGCCGTGAGTACCCACTGTGCTGGGCCCCCCAGAAGCCCTCGAAAGTGGCGACAGTTTCACAGATCGCAGCCCCCCAGGGATGGCGAGGTCGAATCTGAGTCTGCGGTGAGTACCCACTGTGCTGGGCCCCCCAGCAGGCCTCGAAAGTGGCGACAGTTTCACAGATCGCAGCCCCCCAGGGATGGCGAGGTCCCATTTGAGTCCGCGGTGAGTACCCACTGTGCTGGGCCCCTCAGCAGCCCTCGAAAGTGGCGACAGTTTCACAGATCGCAGCCCCCCAGGGATGGCGAGGTCCCATTTGAGTCTGCGGTGAGTACCCACTGTGCTGTGCCCCTCAGCAGCCCTCGAAAGTGGCGACAGTTTCACAGATCGCAGCCCCCCAGGGATGGCGAGGTTCAATTTGAGTCCGCGGTGAGTACCCACTGTGCTGTGCCCCTCAGCAGCCCTCGAAAGTGGCGACAGTTTCACAGATCGCAGCCCCCCAAGGATGGCGAGGTCGAATCTGAGTCTGCGGTGAGTACCCACTGTGCTGGGCCCCCCAGCAGCCCTCGAAAGTGGCGACAGTTTCACAGATCGCAGCCCCCCAGGGATGGCGAGGTCCAATTTGAATCTGCGTGTGGGTACCCACTGTGCTGGGCCCCTTAGCAGGCATCGAAAGTGGCGACAGTTTCACATATCGCAGCCCCCCAGGGATGGCGAGGTTCAATTTGAGTCCGCGGTGAGTACCCACTGTGCTGTGCCCCTCAGCAGCCCTCGAAAGTGGCGACAGTTTCACAGATCGCAGCCCCCCAAGGATGGCGAGGTCGAATCTGAGTCTGCGGTGAGTACCCACTGTGCTGGGCCCCTCAGCAGGCCTCGAAAGTGGCGACAGTTTCACCACTGTGCTGGGCCCCTCAGCAGGCCTCGAAAGTGGCGACAGTTTCACAGATCGCAGCCCCCCAGGGATGGCCAGCAGTGCTGAGCCCCCCAGCAAAAGTGGCGACGGTTTCACAGATCGCAGCCCCCCAGGGATGGCGAGGTCCCATTTGAGTCTGCGCGTACCCACTGTGCTGGGCCCCCCAGCAGCCCTCGAAAGTGGCGACAGTTTCACAGATCGCAGCCCCCCCAGGGATGGCGAGGTCTAATTTGAATCTGCGGTGTACCCACTGTGCTGGGCCCCCCAGCAGGCCTCGAAAGTGGCGACAGTTTCACAGATCGCAGCCCCCCAGGGATGGCGAGGTCCCATTTGAGTCTGCGGTGAGTACCCACTGTGCTGGGCCCCCCAGCAGGCCTCGAAAGTGGCGACAGTTTCACAGATCGCAGCCCCCCAGCGATGGCGAGGTCAAAGGCAGGGGGGAAGAGAGGGACGGGAGGGAAGGAAGGAAGGAGACGCGCGAGCAGTGCTCTATTCAAAACGAGAACCCAACGCAGGAGGGTTGGGAAATAGTCCAAAAATGGTTTGGGGAGGATGTTTTGAGCATGTTTTGGCCATTGTGAATATTTGTTTAATAATGTTCCATGTTTCGTTCAATCAATGCCCCTGCAGAGGGACATGCCCGACCTAATGCTAGAGTTCGCGTCCTGGCCCGCCCGTTGTGCGGGCGGAGCAGCAAAACAGCGGCGTGGCAGCGGTGCGCGGCCGCCGCGGGGCCGCAGCGTGGGAGGGCGCAGGTCCGCAGCGTGGGCGGTCCTCGGCAAGGAGCGCCCGGAGGACGCCAAGGCGGCCAGCGAGGACGAGGCGCAGGAGGAGCGGGGGAGGGAGGAGCAGAGGAGGAAGGGAGTACCCATACCTCTACCCTTTCCCTCGTTTTTCCCATTTCGGGCCTCCCGTGAGGCCCTCGTCGCCACCGCTGGATTCGCCTCGAGATTCTGGTCAGAACGCACCCCAGGAGAGGTCCAGGGAGTAGCGGTATCAATACTTTGTAGCTTCCGCAGGGGAGGCGGGCGAGGTTGGTCCCATGCCTCCCACCCCTGTCGTGTTCCAACGGAGCGCTTCCGAGAGGACCGCGGCACCAAGTCGCCGCCCACCAGACCACCCCAACCCAACCCGAAGGCCCCGATTTGCCCTTCATTTCCAGATTCCTCGTCGTCGTCGTCGTCGTCCTCCTCCTCCTCCTCCTCCAACCTGGCTCTGCTGATGTCCACGCCGTGCTCCTCTGACGCCTCCGATGGCGCACTCTGAAGCCCATACCCCCCCCAACCCGAAACTCGGGCGAAGTTCGTGTCTTCGGGTTGGGCTGGTCTGGTGGTAGTCACCGAGTGCGGACGCGGGTGGGTCGCGGCTCGCTCTGCGCGCGAGTCCTGGCTGCGGGCGGATGAGATGAGGGAGCCAACTGAGGAGTCCAAGAGACACTGGAAGGAGGAGGCAGGCGCGGCGCCAATGGGCTAGGAGGCAGGCATGGCGCTTCGGGAGCCTTGATAGATGTTTTGGAATTGCGAGACCTGGCCCCCGTAGTGTGGGCACGCGTGCATGGTATTTGCTTTATTGCCAGAACCTTGATTAAGACGGAGTCATGCCTGACTTTTTTCCCCAGGGTATTGATACAACGCGCCCTACTTGGGTGCGCACCATAAGACCAGACCAGAAGGAGGAGGAGGAGGAGGAAGAGGAGGAGGAGGAAGCCCGTGGGCGGGTCTTGTGCGGAAGTTTCTGACAGCTTTGTGGCCGCGGACCCACCCCATGCAGCGTGACCAGACGCCGCATCGTTGTCCGCCCTCCAGTCCCACTCAGTGGCTACTTGCGCACTTCTTTCCCGATTTTTCGTAGCCCAGCCCAGATTCGATGCCGCTTGCTCACGCAGTTTATTGTCTAGCGCTGTGCCCGTATCGCTCGAGAACGTTCCGCTGGGCATCGCGTATCCGCGCGCGCGACAGAGGATGGCACGGGCAGTTGCCTTCCCATGACCCCTGGCGTGTTCCGCCCCCCTTCTCCCCGCCTCTAGTAGACTTCCTCGTCCCCGTCTTTCCCCGGTTCCTTGTCTCATGTTGCACTCACGCCCACTGTGTCAGGTAAAAGCGCGCACGCTACCGCTTGTCATGCGCCTGCGTCATGTGTCGGTCCGCACCCCAGCAACCTGTCTCGCAGACCCGTTGTCCAGGTTTTTGTGCACACTACGTGATGATGCCAGCGTGCTCGGCCTCCAGACCGTTAGATGGTGTATTGTAGCGGTAGCGGTCCTCCACCCTCTGCGCTCGATTTTGCTCCCATATGTCTACTCCCCACTTCCTGGTTTCTGCTTTCTAGCTCTCTAGTTGCCTGCGTTCTTGCCGTCTGCTCTTCCTGCTCTCTGCTTTCTGCTCCCCGCTCTCTCCTCTCCATGACTTGCCCTCTGCTCTGTGTTCTTTGGTCTTTGGTCTACTCTCATTCTCCACTCTCTACTGTCCGCGTTCTACGCTCCATCCTTCGGGCGGGTCTCTCTGGGGGAGACCCTAAAGTCGACCCGCATGGTAAGGATGGGCACCCTTCCCAAGGGGGTTTCCTTGCATCCTTGTCTCCTCGGCCCAATCTCGGCCAATCTCGTTGGCCGCGCCCCGCTCGAAAAGCTTCGACATGGGCGTCCAAGGCCCTTGCATCCTTGCCGCGCATCCTCACGATACGGGTTGACTGTATGAGAAGGAACCAGACTCCCTCTTTGCACATGCTGCACATCTTTAAGACACACGGGCGCGACGCTTCGGCGAGAGTCACATGTTGCGAACTACCCGCAAGGTTTTGAGACGACTGTGCGCCCATGCTGTGGGACCCCGCGGAATTTTCTCCTCCTCCTCCTCCTGTGCTTCCCGCTCCGCCTGCGGGCTCGGCGCGTGCGGCGTGCCGCCCCCATTTGGACCCGCACCCGGGGCGGCGGGCGCCGGGGCCAATCCGAGGCGGCGGGGACCGCCCCCCCCCCGGAAGGCAGGCAGCGAGTGACCCCCAGCCCGAAGGTGATCGTTCTCTTGACGGGCCTGTTTTCCACCACCACTACCATAAGTTGGAGGGACGAAGGAGATGGAGGACGAGGGGGAGGAGGACGAAGAGGAGGACGAAGAGGAGCAGCAGGAGGAGGAGGAGGAGGAGGAGGAGGAGGAGGAGGACCCCCTCCCCCTCCAACTTATGGTGGTGGTGGTGGTGGTGGTGGAAAACAGTCCCATCGTTTTCTTGTTCATTGTTTTGCCGATCGGCGCGGGCCCTCGCACCCCCCCGCTTCGCTCCCCCGTGGAGTAGATCGTGTGGATGTTTCCCGCGCCTGCTTCAGGCAGGTGGAGGCTCCCCCATGGGGCGCACTGCTGCAAACAGTCGCATCAAGCAGAGGTCCGGAGCCAGACCTCCCCCCCTTCCGCCCCATGTCGAAACGCCGTGTAAGAAGACGTTCAGAACAACGCGGTGAAGACGTGGCCTCACTGAGGTCCACATCTGTGCACATTAGGGATAACAGATGTGGGCGGTGTGGTCCGATGCAGCTGCAGAGCAGAGCCCCTATCCCTAGTGTCTTCGGCCCTCCTGATTTAGGTCCCCTCCAAAAGGTGAGGGTCCTTTTGTGGTTACCCCAAAAAACACTGAACCGGCGTCACCCCAACATGCTTGTATTATAATGTGCGTCGACCCCCCCCCCCCCCGCGGGCGATGCGCGCACCGAGAAATCTTGTAGTGTATGCGTCGTGGCGGGCGCTTGATGGCCACACCGCTCGGGAAACGATATACATACTACAAGACTGGTATACTATATGTTTGGGTCGGACGCGCGCCTCCAAGGAGAACATACAGTATTCGTATGTTTTCGTGCGTCCCACTGAAGGCAGCAATGTTGGCCTCCCCGGGGTACCGCCAGGCTCTACGGCAGGCACGCACGGCGGGGCTCAAGCCTCTGCCAGGTGCAGCCAGCAGGTGCGCGCCGTGCCGACGCGGCGGCGACTCCGCCGCGGGCGCTTGCGGTTGAGCGCGGCCAGTGGACACCACTTAGCATATATTCGGAGGCCTGGAGGCTGACACCAACACCAGCATCGGCGGTCTGCTTCCACCGAGGGATGGCGATCCCGATCTCTCGGTGATGGTGGTGATCTTCGGGCTCTTCCCGGACGAGGCGTCCGGAGCCGACGCCGGGGCCGTCGCGGCGCGAGCCTGCCGCACGTGCGCGCCCGCGCTCCCGCAGGGGCGTCTCTGCGCAGAGCCGCCGCGCCCGAGGCGCGGGGCGTCCCCGGCGGCCGGCGCTCCCCCTGCAGCGGGCGAGCGCTGCCAGCACTCTTCGCCTTCCCACCCCCCTTCTCGGAGGCGACGAAGGGGGCGAATAGCCCAGGGGGGAGCGGCACATGCATCCAGGGGCGCCGATGGTCCATGTCTTCAGCGAGGCTCCCAGAGGGGTGCGTGCAATGCTCTCCCCTGATCTATTCGCCCCTATCGTCGCCGCCGACCTTGGCCGAGCCGCAGGGCGGACGGGAAGAGCGGGAGCTTCCGGCAGTGCCACGCCATCGGGCGCAGGCGGGAAGCCGGGGGAGCGGTGTCGGCTGACCCTGGAGCGGAGGTGGCGAAGCTGCGCCAGGGCACTGTCGCCCTCCGCCGCCGACGGCAGCAGAGTGCCACGCCTCGAGGCTCGGAAGTCCCCTGGCTTGCTGGGAAGTCGTCTGAGCCTTCCCCGAAGACGCAGAACACTTCTCATAAGGCGCGAGGGCTCCTGAGAAGCCTCGCCGCCTTCTGAGAAGGCCTCCTTCTCATTTCCCCCCCTCGCCCGCCGCCGAACACCGCTCGCCTTCAGTGGGGCATGTCCTTCTGCAGGAGGAATGCTCAAACATAGATTTAAAAAGCGACGATTGTTTTGAGTATTTTTAGAGTATATTGAAGTATCTGGTGGTTCGTCCAAAATCCGCCCGTAAGGGGACGTGCCCGACCTAACGCGCGCCCGAGGCACGCCGGGCCGCCGAGCGGGGCCTGGCGGCCCGCGCCCTGCCAGGCCGCCGGGGGGGGTCCTCGGCGGTGAGCACCGCACGTTGGCGCCGTGCCAGCGGACGCTCCGTGGCAGCACGGCCTGGCCGCCGCAGCAGTGCGTGTGCAGACCTCGCCGGCCTGGATCTGTCGGCGATGTATCGCCGATTCCAGGTCGATGCATCCATCCCCCCCTACGCCAGTCCCTCCCTATCGTTGCCCCTCAGAGTAGGAGGCGGAAGAAGAAGAGGAGGACGAGCAGTAATGATGGTGGTCATGCGAATAGCATTAATCATAATAGCAATACCAAGGTAATATTCGTAGTAGGATGAAGGATGCGAGTAATACTACTGGTGATAATAGTAATGGTCTGTCAGTCGTAATAATGATGCGATTAGAATTAATAATACAGATAATAGCAGCAATACTACTTATTGGTAATAGTTTTTGTTTATTAGTATTACTGGTATTATTTGTGTATTATTGTATGTTATTTAATACGAATCATCACAAGTAATAATGAATGAATACGAATGACAAGAAGAAGGGGAGGACGACGAGGAGGGGGAGGAGGGGGAGGAGGAGGGGGAGGAGGAGGAGGAGAAGGAGGAGGAGGAGCAGGAACGGGAGGAGGAGGGAGGAGGAGGGAGGAGGAGGGAGGAGGAGGGATGATGATGATGATGATGATGATGATGATGATGATGCTGATGATGAAGACGACAACGACGACGATGACGATGATGTTGATGATGATGTTGATGATGATGATGATGAATCTGCTGATGATGATGTTGATTATGATTATGATGATGATGATGATGATGATGATGATGATGATGATGATGATGATGATGATGATGATGATAATGATGACCAGGCTGACGATGATGTCGATGATGATGATACCGACGACGATGCTGATGATGATTATGCTACTGCTGCTGTTGCTGCTGCTGCTGCTAATGATGATGATGATGATGATGATTTCTGATGATCATGATGATGATGATGATGATGATGATGATGATGATGATGATGATGATGATGATGATGATGATGATGATGATGATGATGATGATGATGATGATGATGATGATGATGATGATGATGATGATGATGATGATGATGATGATGATGATGATGATGATGATGATGATGATGATGATGATGATGATGATGATGATGATGATGATGATGATGATGATGATGATGATGATGATGATGATGATGATGATGGAGCGAATCGGATCTGCTCTCCTCCACTGTCCTGCAGGGCCTCGGACGGGGGCGCTTTTGCTGACGCCGCCTGTGGGCACGCAAAACGGAAGGGAGAGAGGAGCGCCGGCCCCGCAGGATGCGCCCATACCCTGGGGGAGGATCCTCTCGACGCCGCAGCTCTGGGGAGGGGGCCGGGGCCTGCACCCAGTCGGAGGGCGCCAACTATGCACGCCTGCACCGATCCTGGGCAGGCCGATCCTGCGCCAGGGACTGGTGCCTGTATGCCTTCCTTGCCCGGCCAGGAGGGCGTATGCACCGATCCTGGGCCCAGAGTGGGCATGGGCAGGACCGGTGCAGCGTGCATGCGGTCGGGGGAGTTTTGGCTCAGCGTGCGGCGCCGCTGGTTCTGACCCACCACGCTTCGGCGCGACACCCTATCCACGTCCTGGTCCGCGAGCGTCAGCGTCCCCTTCTCCCAGCCTCCCACCCCGCGGAGCGGAGCGACACGCTATCCCCTCGCATGACATAGTGTGTCGCCAGGATCGCCGCCGCGACACGCGGAGGAGGAGGACGAGGAGGAGGAGGAGGAGGAGGAGGAGGAGGAGGAGGACGCGCATGCCTGGGTGACGTGGCGTATACCTGATTGTAGTAAGGGTGCGGGGCGGGGGAAGCGCGGGGAGCGGGGGTCGCCTCCAGCGCGTGTCAGGAGTGGTACAAGCCTCCGATGTGTTCGGCGTGCTGTGGTTGCTCTTTTCGTGTGGTTCGGAGGACGAGGATGAGGTTGGCCAGGCAGGAGGAGGCGAATAGGAGGAGGAGGAGGAGGAGGAGGAGGAGGAGGAGGAGGAGGAGGAGGAAGAGGAGGCGGAGGAGGAGGAGGAGGAGGAGGAGGAGGAGGAGGAGGAGGAGGAGTTGGAGGAGGAGGAGGAGGAGGAGGAGGGAGGAGGCCCCTCTCGCGCCCAGCCCCCTGATTGTCTCTTGCTTGCGTTGAGTAGCGCTCGAACCGCTTCAGAGCTAGCGAGGATTGACGAGGGCGGAGGAGGAGGAGGAAGAAGAGGAGGAAGAGGAGGACCAGTGTAAGCCCAAGACTACTCAACGATATTGCAATGAAGCCTCCCTCCAAGTTCCCTCTTCATAGGCCCCGTACAGGGATTCATCTTCACTGAGGGAAGTGCCGCGTTGGAAGACAACCGCTTGAAAATCCTTAACTGTGCCACAATTCTCTATCTGGGATTTCATAGCGAGAATCAGAATAATTGTCGCGTCGTGACGGTCCTGAATCGTGCCAGAACGCAATTTCTGGGACTTCCAACACCACGAGTCAACGTAATTTTTGTGCCCTGACAGATCGACATCGTGCCCAAACACAGCTTTTTGAATGTTCACTATGCGGATTTTGAAGCTGCTATAATAAACATTGACAGCGAATGTGCGCGGCGCTAATGCGAGAGCAACATGTTGAACAGATACCGCCCCAATCAGTGAAACTGTCGCACATGTTAAAGACAAATGTGCGCGGCGCTAAGGCGAGAAGTGCATTTTGAAAACGACCCGCCCTCCATGTGTGAAACTCTTTTAAACTTTTAAGACGGATGCGCGGCGCTAAGGCGAGGGCCGCATTTTGAAAACCACCCGTCTTCCATCCGTGAAACTGTTCCTTTTAATACGAATGTGCGCAGCGTTAAGGCGAGACTCACCATTTGAAAGCCACCCGCCCTCAATCCGTGAAGCTGATGCACATTTCAAGTTTCAGGATCCTAAGTGGCGAGGAACTCTCAGGGCGAAACGCTGGGCTCGCCCTTTCGACCAGCCTCTGGGCGCGACAGGGAGGAATTATTTTTGAGCCGAGGAGGAGGAGGAGGAGGAGGAGGAGGAGGAGGAGGAATAGGAAGGGTAGAAGGATGACGAAAGTGGAGGAGGAGGAGGAGCAGGGGGAGGTGGATGAGGAAAGCAGAGGAGGTGGAACAGGAAAAGTAGGAGGACAGCTTAGGATGAGGACGAAGGAGGGTGCAGGATGATGGTGAGGAGGGAAGATATGGCCAAGACTGAAGAGGAGATATGGGGGATAGGTAGGGGTTTGAGTGGGAGGAAGACGGGTCGGGGTAGCGCAGGGGAGTGAGGGAAATTCAGTTGGAGAGGTTTGAAGAGGAGGGTCGATGATGAGTCTTGGGGAGAAGGGTTGGAGGCGAGTGTTGGAGATGGCGGGCGTGGTGGGCTTGAGGAGAAAGGAGGGAGGAAGAGAGAGAGTGAGGGAGGCAAGGAGGGAGGGTGGGATGATGATGATGTTGATGATGATGATGCTGATGATGATGATGATGATGATGATGATGATGATGATGATGACGATGCTGACGATGATGATGAGGAGGATGCTGATGATGCTGATGATGCTGCTGGCGATGATGGTGATGATGTCGACGACGACGATGATGATGATGAGGATGATGATTAGCATGCTGATGATGCTGATGCTTGCTGACGATGATGCTGATGATGCTGATGATGCTGATGATGCTGCTGTTGCTGATGCTGATGATGCTGCTGATGATGATAATGATGATGATCGTGGTGGTGGTTGTGGTGGTGATGACGATAATGAGGATGATTGGGATGACGACGACGATGAGGAGGAGGAGGAGAAACGATGAGAATGAGGGCTGAGAAGGCGCACGATGGTTGAGTCCTCC